CCACCGAGATCCGTCTTCCGCCGCCGCCGCCACCCGCCGCGAATCGGGGGCGCTGCCCGCCCGCCCCGCACCGGTGCTCGCTCGGACCGCTTCTCCCCGCTCGGAATGCGCTGCTGAGCCATGATTCGCGGCCCGGAGCGCTCGGCCGCGGCGACGCGCCTCGCCTGCTGGGCCGCGCTGCTCGTCGCGTCGGCCGGTCTGATTGGGGGCGGTGGCGGGAGCGGGAGCCACCGCGCCTCCGCGTCGGCGCTGGCGCTGCGGCGCGAGGACAGCCTCGCGCGGCTCCCGTACGGGGTCGTCTGGGTCGGGGGCGGCGGCGCGGAGGACCCGGAGGCGGACCTGCCGTGCCGGGACGGCGCGGCGAGCGCGCGGACCTGCGAGGAGCTGGGCGGGTCCGGGTCCTTCGACGCGGTCTGCGTCATCGCCTCCAGCACCGCCGCCCTGTCCCGCGACGCCTGCGCGCACGGGAGCGGCAGCGTCGAGATACGCGCCGGGGTGAGCATCGCCTGCCGGGTCCCCGGCTGCCGGCTCGTGTTCAACGTGTCCGGGACCATCGCGGTCGGCGAGCGCGCCGAGCTCGTCGCCGGCTCCGTCGGCCTGCACGCCGCCAACGTCTCGCTGGGCCGCGGCTCCGCCGTCAACACCACGGGCCTCGCCGGCGCGCCCCCGCCCCAGACCTCCGGCACGCCGCACGGCCCCGAGGGCGCCGGCGGCGGCCACGGCGGCCGCGGCGCGTCGTGCAAGGTGTCGAACGACACCAACTGGGGCGGTGACGTGTACGCGTGGGCCTTCCTGGACAATCCGTGGAGCTACGGCAGCAAGGGTGGGAGCTTGACCGCTGACGAGAGGCTTGGAGGGGACGGCGGAGGCCGCGTCTTGCTCAGGGCGAGTGACATTTTGACGGTTGATGGAGTTGTGCTTGCTGAAGGAGGCGTGGGCAGTCTCCAAGGGGGCGGTGGGTCTGGTGGGAGCATTATGATCAAGGCTTTCAAGCTGTAAGATCTCCATTTCTTGGCATTTTACTTGTTTTCAGTACGATTTATGATAGCAATGTGAAATCCTTGGATAGAACATCCGAGTCCTATTCCATGGTAATTAGCCAGTCCGGACGATTGTGTAGATAAATAAATGCACGATCTGGCTACATATCTTCATAATGTGAACATTATGATGTTTTTTCTAGTTAAGGATTTTTTAATATGAATTGCCATGTCACTGGGTGAATCTGCATTATTCAGGATCATGTTGAAATTACATTTTCAGTCAAAACAAGGAATTGCAGACAAGAACCAAGAGTATCTATGACTTAGTCTAGTTGTACTGCGGCGCTAGAATTTGAGTGCAGTTGCTGGCTTGAGTTGCAAATCAGCAGTGACTTGCTGTCTCATGTGCTGCCTTTCTTCCTCTTACCCTATACACACATTATCTTGTTCAAGCAGACAACCTTTAACAATGACCATTTATTAAAGTTTGAAATATTGAGAAATATCATGAGTTATGATATGGCTAAGTGTTGTTGGATATGATGCTCTAGTGCGACCCCAATGGTACAATCGAGACATAGCCCTGTTATGACCCATAATGTCTCAGCTGCCCACCATCAGGTTCAAATGTTTGCAAAACCCATTGAAACCTGACCTAGATCATTGTTGATCCAAATTTTGATATGAATCTCATTATTCTCCGTAACCACTTCTGATGATGGCCAACTCTGCACATCTGCTCCTATCAGCATGCATCCAGTCACTTTATCCATGGTAGCTGCTTCTGCTTTCCTCCATGCTCCTTGCCTTACCTCCTTTCATCTCCATCCATGTGAACATGCACTTCTGCTTACTAAAGATGCCAGTAATGTTGCGCAATGCAGACATGCTTGCTTTGGCTTTCGAATTGATTTGGTAGACATGGTATTTGATTATCCTGGCTCACCTGATTAGTTATTTCTATATTATCTGATGCACACATTTACTTTATTAATTGCTGCAAGATCCATAAACATTTTCTCATAGGATTATTACTGAAGTAAAGTAGCAAACCTCATACTTGCACTTTATGCTTTCTGAATTGACCTGTGAAATGCAACACTCCCTTATTGTATAACATTCTAGATATGGAAATGGTACAATAAGTGCTGGCGGTGGTAATGGATGGGGCGGAGGAGGTGGTGGGAGGATATCCCTAAAATTTTACAGCATTCAGCAAGATTTGGAAATTATAGCTCATGGTGAGTATTTTCTGGCCTTAGTTTCTATGCAACTGTTTTGCAACCCTCCTGCCACTAGCATTTCCTCATAGGGGAGCACAGTCGGCCAAACTATTTCAATTAAAAGTGCAACGGATATTTCTTACTGATTACTAATACTGTTTAGTGTCATGTATTGGTTCTCTGGCTAGTTAGTAACTGTACCAAATGCATTAAGGGTGTGACACACATGTTGCACATCATGTAGATATAGCTCAATTACTGCACTCCGTTGATTTAGTTGCTGTGCAAAAAAAAAAAAAAACTTTGACCTTTTCATTGCTTGTGAGTTGCGATGTGTTTCTACGTTTAGAGGCAATTGCGTGATGACCTTAAGAAAATAGCCATGATATTCATGATGTTAAACTTATGCGGCCTTGTTTTGCATAAAGTACAGCTCTTGTGTGCAAACACCTTTTTTCATGAGTCACTGGTTTCTCCTAACGGAACAACTGCTAAATATCAATAATGAAGTTCTTGAGAGCAAGATATCAATGTAGTATTAACTATTGACTATCAGAATCTCAGGGGACATTGCCCGTTTATATGTTACCATATATGCACATTAGCACATGTTTTTTGGTCTGTGGTGATTTAGTGTAAAACTAAGACAAACAAAACGTTTTACAAAGAGACAAGAAAAGTGTATGTTGGAAATCATGTACCTCTTCTGCAAGGGAACAGATAATTAACTCTGAATGTACTAAATTTGCCCGCCGTTATTTTGCTTGCAATTTTATCTAGACATTCAATAAATAATGATAATCAAAATCTAGATACCCTACCTTGTCAAAATTCACTGCATAGGTCTAACTATGGAAATTGTGAGCCTCAGTTTATATTGTTACTGTTATGTCTCTTCATATTCATCTTGAGTGTTGAATATTGATGTATGTGTTTTTGGTATGGACATGCGCCTTTTTGCTTCATAACTTTTCAGTAATGCAATCCTTCCCCCTTTCGTTGTATTCTGATGATAAACTTTTTTCACATTCATCAGGTGGACAGAGTTTTGGGTGCCCCCAGAATGCTGGTGCAGCAGGCACAATATATGATAAATCATTGGAGACTCTAAAGGTCAGCAATGGAAACTTCACCACGCATACGGAAACTCCATTGCTGGGTTTCTCAGTGACTAAACTTTGGTCCAATGTGCTTGTCGAGAGCAATGCAAAAGTTCTGGTTCCCTTGCTGTGGTCCAGAGTACAGGTTTGAATACTCTGACTTACCACTAACATCACGCCTCTTCATCAAACAATATTTTGTATACCTTTGCACAACTAATTCTGAGGTTATGTATTATTGTATACACTGTACCTGTATAACTGCACTAGTATCTCGATTTTCTTTAAGTGTCTTGTCTCAGTATTGCATCTACACCGCACTAATATACAATTCTTTTTGTAAATGTATTTTCCCCATTTAAGGAGGTTCAGTAATAAGACCTACACTAATCTAATTGTCAATATTGTCACAACAAAATTTTAGTTGATGTTAATAATGACACTTGGGGTGTAGCATCTGCACACATCATTAAGAAGATAGCACTGGTTTATTCACTCCGTGAAATAAATCAATGGGCTTTGATCCCCACAGGGGTCAAACTCAGGTTGGCAAGGAGACACCACTTCACTCCACCACTGGGCTATCATCCAGTTTCTCAAATTTACATGACCTTGTTCTCAACAAGCTAATGTGATTGTAAAGTGATGAGCTGTTGAGCACCAACTTGCTTGTGGTGTTCCTATGTTCTCAGTCACACACAGGGTTGAGCCAGGATTTAACCATCAGAGGGGCCAGACAGATGTTAAATGTAGAGGTTTTGTGTTATAGGAGCTTTTCCACCATGGTGCCAGCTTGCCACTAGGGTTCCTCGCTGCGGTGCCCGCCCAGTACCCGTGCCTTGCAATCGCAGCATTGGTCAAGGGTAAAGTGTCTCGGGCTCTTGTTAGCTTGACTTGGCTAGCCTGGCTGCCGGGTGCCATATTCTGTCTTATACGGAATAGACGCAAAGCCTACCAACACAGCGTAAACACTCTCTATTTACTACCCCTTCAGATCAATTAAAAATCCAGGACCCAGACAACTTCTTATCTGAGCTAGCTCTTTGCAATGGTACTGCTGTGCCATGGGTTCCTATAGAGGTAAAAAAGTTTGGCGGTGCTCGTTATGGGAGCCTGGGAGGAGACAAGGCACATGCCATAGAGTGTCAGCACAAACTGTTTGTAACCATTGATTCCTGCAGTTGTCACTCTACTATGATTTTTTCCCTATTCATTATCTTTCTTTTTCTTCGTTGTGGCTAAATTGTTTAATTTAGTTGTTGATCACAACTTTTCTGTTTACATAGGCTACTAAATGATTTATATTCGAATATATTATTTCTAGACCTGAGCGAGCAACGAAGTCTATGCATATGAGGCATGTTTTTTTTAATGATGGAGCTCCTTTCTAAATCTGTTTGGATGGGTTTCCATGCCCTTTATATTCTTTGCGCATTGCTTCCTCTTTACCTACTGATTGTTATTATTTGGCACCTTTCCTATTCCTATCTGCATTCCCATTATTAAATTCGCTGTTTTTATTTGCTCCTATTTTCTACTTGTTCAGGTGACAGGGCAAATAAGGCTACTTACTGGGGGTAGCATTTGCTTTGGGTTGTCTGAAAATCCAATTTCAGAGTTTGAACTGGTTGCAGAGGAGCTTCTAATGAGTGACTCTGTTATAAAGGTATGCCTTGTTGTATACATATATGCATCACATAGTAAATTGATCAATTCTTCTATAGTGAATTATGATTTGCATGCTGAAGGTGTCATAGGTTTCACAGTGATGGAGAGTTTTCCTTAAGCACCGAGGTAAAGGAGGGGTTGATGATCTAAATTAATTGTTTTAAAGAAGTCTTACTGCGATTATAGAAGTTAAGGCCTCCAATGCAATAGTGGACGAGCATTTCTTAAAAAACAATTATTTGACGAAATTTACAATCGCTTGAGCAAGGGGCTGATCATCGGAGAGTTCCTTGGCCGGTGCATCAATTTCTCGTGTGGAAAGCTATTAAAGGTGTGGATGTTGAGAGATCCAACTGGTTTGTGAGAATTATAACAAACTAAATTGCATACTATATATTCTTGGTGCAAGCGCATGTGTATGTGGATGGGGATGCTTTTACGTCTGTAAATTTCAGTGCCCTGTGACACAATTTGATATCCTAAATTTCACCAATCGAACTGCACCATGCTGCATGCAGTAAATATGTCTAGTATTAATTTGATATGATTACGCTTCTTGAAAATCCATTCTAGCCTGCTGAGTCGACTATGTTCTGACCCGCTTTAGAGTTTTGTGCAAGTTCCATTCTTCCGTTCAGCTGAGTTGATATTGCTCTTCGTGTACTGCCTAGACTGTCAGTTGCTCAACTACAAGATATTTTTGCTCCAAACTTGAGACCTTGCCCTGTCAGAGGAGAATAACAATATCCCAACACGTGACCTGACATGGCTCCGATACACCAGAGGGATTCTCTGATACTTTCCATGTCCCTCACCCATGCTGGAGAAGCATCGAGGAACTGTCATGTGTCCAACACTTGCAGGCATTGAAGCATTGCTTGCTATAGTAGGATTATATTTAGAAGGAAGATGAGAACCACCTCTTGGTGGGGTGGTGGAGTCGTGGGGGCAACAGCTCCGCCCGACAGGGCTCAAATCCTGCTGCTCACGTTTTTACACATACGTGTAGGTGTGTACAGTAGGATTTAGTGAAATTCACCGAATTATGTCTGGTTTCCGTCATTCTAGCATGCGATTAGAGGATGGGCTCATGTGTGTGCGCGTGTGTCTCCCTTGTAATTGCAAAGATCCAACAGGAAGACACATCTGATGTACCAAATATACTGTGTGGTTACTTCATTATAATCATTCCTGAGCAGGTTATGCAGTCCTAACTTACTCCTGTTATTGAAGGTGTATGGTGCTTTCAGAATGTATGTGAAGGTGCTCTTGATGTGGGATTCGAAGATTCAGATAGATGGTGGGGGTAAGGATGTTGTTCTTGCATCCATGCTTGAGGCAAGAAACCTTGTCGTACTCAAGGTATGTTTGTTTGAAAGCCTTACTGCCAAAATGTTCTTTTCTTAGTAGTGGAAATTCAGTTTTCTCTGTTCTAACAGCATGGGTCAGTGATATCTTCCAATGCTGCTTTGGGAGTTTATGGACAAGGACTTCTTAATTTGAGTGGTCCTGGAGATGGAATCAAAGCACGCCAACTGTTTCTGTCTCTGTTTTACAACATTGAAGTAAGATCGTAATATATGCATTACCTATCCACTTTTTGCGCAATTAGCCATCCTGGAGATAAAATTTGTCCCATGTAGTTATAACTTTTGTGACTACAACTTCTCTTGATGTATGCGCAGGTTGGTCCTGGTTCCGTTGTCCAGGCTCCACTAGATGAGGATGTTCGAAGCAGCTTGTAAGTTCTGCTATTTCAGTCTAAATTAATGGTCTTTAGTTGCTTCTAACCAATCCTGTGGATTGACATTTGTGTATATCAGGGATGCACTTTCGGTCTGTGAAAGTAAAACATGCCCTAGTGAGTTAATCGCACCCCCTGATGATTGCCATGTGAACAGCTCCTTGTCATTTACACTACAAGTAAGGATTGTTTGCTGCGCCATTCTCTTGTGAGGGAAGCTCATAATTTTCATTAGCTTGTAGATCTTCCATAAGAACTTTTTGGCAAGGAAGCATGATGGCTGAACTTTTAGTTACATTTGTGCCTTTGTATAATTATTTCACAAGATGTTTTCGCTAACTTACTTGCCTGTTGAAATGTGTCGTATACCATGTAAATTTTGATACCTGATTCAGCAGAGAGATGATTTTCTTCATCTTGCATTTTCTGATATTTTTTTATTCAACACTCCCTCTACTGATGGAATGCAAAACATGGGGATCAGCGAACCCGAATGATTTCATGGGTTATACAGGACAACTAATATATCAAATGGATAGAAAAACGAACCACCTCTTGCTACTAACGTGGTGAGGGTGGTGAATGATACACCTTCATGGTATCACAAAACAATAATACTCCCTCTTGCCAATAGAAATAACATCAAGTTCATATTTTTCTCATAGTTGCATGTGCATTTTGTTTTGTTTAAATTGGATCTGGCTATATTGCAGTTCGGAGTACGTGTTCTGTTCTAGCTTTTTCATAAGAAATTCACATTTTGCAGATTTGCCGTGTTGAAGACATAACTGTCGGTGGCATAGTCAGGGGGAGTATAATTCATATTCATCGAGCAAGAACTGTGACTATTACGGATGGTGGCGCAATAAGTGCCTCAGAGTTAGGTGATTCATTGTTTTTGTGTTGTGATCAGTAAAAGAACTGGAACCTTTCCTATCAGTGTGGTAACTCTGTTCACTCAGCAATCTGGATCTTTTTATAGGTTGCAAAGCAGGCATTGGTAGAGGAACATTTCTTAAGTATGGAGCTGGTGGTGGGGCTGGTCATGGAGGCCAGGGTGGTATAGGGATTTACAACGGCATGACAAGTGAAGGAGGTCAAAAATATGGCAGTGCTTATCTTCCATGTGAGCTAGGAAGTGGTAGTGGTTCTCTTGAGTCAGGCGATAGCAATGCTGGTGGGGGATTAATAGGTATGCACTATTTTGTGTGATCTTGTGTTGTGAATCTTTATCCACAGTGGGGGTTTACCGTGCTGAATATATTTTCCTTCAAGCTTGCTGTGAGCATATTTTCCTTTTCCTTATTCTGTGCTTGCCTGCACAATGAGAGCATATTCTACTACATGCACTCTTACTTAACTACCTTTTATTTTCGGTTTTCTTCTGGAAATAAGTACATTTACCTTGCAAAGCTTTTGGTACCACTTTTCTCTTAAATTCTGTTCAATTTCCTGATGCAGTCATTGGGTCGATGAAATGGCCACTTGCAAGATTGTTAATTTATGGTTCTGTGAGCTCTAATGGTGAAAACAATAGAGACACAACTGGAAATTCCAGTGGGTCCTTCAAAGGTGGCATTGGTGGTGGTTCTGGAGGAACAATTCTTTTTTTCCTTCAAGGGCTTCTGGTAGAGAAAAATTCTTCACTGTCAGCATCTGGGGGCAAAGGAGGCATACATGGTGGAGGTGGTGGTGGCGGTGGCAGAATACACTTCCACTGGTCAAATATTGCTACTGGAGACGAATTTGTTCAGATTGCTTCAATCAATGGTACAGTAGCATCAAGGTATGTAATCGTGCAAATACCAATGATAATTATAAAGGAGGTTGCTTGCTTTTGTATATACTTGTCTCTCTAAAGTCATGAGACATGATCATGCTATTTATTGTTTGCTGTGAGCCTTCCAAATGATTTTCTTTTAACCAGTATACCTGATACAATAAATTCCTTCATAGTGACACCTACATATCAGAAAGGGATCATACAGAAAGAGATCATATGCTTGCATAAGTGTTGAAATACCCAATTTCATTACTGCAATTTTTTTTCAGAAAATGCTTATGGGAGTTCTGTTGCGGTTACATGTGATTATTGGTGTTCTGTTGCAACCTCAGTGTTCAAGCAGAATCCACAATGGACTCGCTCGTTAGTTTGGACGGGATCTTAGGAATTAGGACAGTCAACAAAGTGTTAGCTTACCGGAGGGTACAACATTGGAACTTAAGTTGTTTGATGGTGTTTTCTGTAAATCATCCTGATTTTCAGAAGTTTCTTATCTGCTGCTTCCTCTGTTTTCCTGTCTCGTGTTTTAAGTCACTAATTAATGAAGTCAACACTATTGAAAGTGGCACTGTCTGCTTGCTACTACATTATCTGGAACACAAACAAAACAGATATGGATGTAAACCAACAGAGAAGTTAGGTAGGCAAGGAGAAGCTAACCAGAAGCAGTATGTTTGTTGCGTGCTGCTGTCAAGTGTCAACTTCTACTGCCGCTGCTTCTTCAGCTTCTCCCCACCATTGACGTCACATACCAAAGCATGCTTCTGTCTCCCTCCACTCCTCTATGGTCATGATCACTCGATCTAGCTGGTTGATAGGAAGAAACCAGTGAAGAGATCAGCAGTGGTGGCCTGTGAACTCACGATAGGAGTAGCCCGGTGGAGACTGATGGTGATGGAGGCCGTGCTGAAGCAGCGAAGCCCTAGGATGCCATGTTATCCCTGTTCTGCTCTGAAGTTACTGCTGCAGATCTAGGCCAGAGTAGCAGACCTATGAGTCACTGCCTTTTGCCTGCCACGTCAAGCTCAACATTGCCGCTTAGTTGGTGCCATTGTCCTCATAGCACTGTCTAGGCGGGTCCAACACCCAGCCTAATTGTTACTTTGTTATTGGATCAGGTATCTGTGGTGCAATTTATTACTTTAAAGGCATTTTTTTAATACTTGTGGTGCGATGTACTCTAAATTTCCTAGGCATGCTTGTTGTTTTATTTTTCTCCTGAGATGTATGTTTTCATCATGAAATGCAATGGCTACTATCTGTGTTGACCTACATGGGAGAGCTCCATAGTATTTTGTTTTGGGATGGAACTTCATTTGTGCACTGCCATGAGCAAAGAGAAGTTTTAGTGAATGAATATATTCTTGTGCTAATTTCCAATAGCTGTTCTTTTGTGTAGTGGAGGTTCCGGTAATGATGATGGGCATTTTGGAGAAGATGGAACAATAACAGGAAAGGAGTGCCCTGTGGGACTATATGGAACATTTTGTACGGTATGAGCACTAAACTTGACATGTCTTTGTTCATCCAGATAGCATGTTTTCTGTTATTAGTAACACAAACAATGTACAGTATTCATCTTAATACATATTAATTTCTTTTACCTGTTCCTTTTCTTGTATATGCAAAATCTCTGCATCCATTTTCATTAAGGAGTAACATCCAGAATATTTACATCAAAGGGGACAGAAAAAAAAGAGGGATGAGGCTAGGGTGGACAGAACATTTTGGCCCCAGGATGCAGTACAAAACTAAGCCTATTTATGGTTCGTACTTCTTTTTAGAGAGCCGTAGAAGCTTTGCACATCTTTTTGTTAGGGAAAAGGTAAGGTTGTTAGTGACAATGGATGAACGGAGGGCTAATAGGCTAAGTCGAAGTCGCTGAAAGAGAGGGAACTTTCTCAAAAGAACCTTCACCACATACTCCGTCTTGATGCTCATCACCTCTGCCGCTAGATCATGGCACTCGCCCTGGAAGACACGACTACTCCTCTCCCGCTGAACTGGCCAGCTGAGGAGGATCACCATCAATCAAACTGTTTTAGCCGCTACTTCTAGACCATCTTCTTCCTGGCTAAGTCTATCTCTCACGGTGGTTCAAACTTGAAAGAAAACACCCCTACACTTGCCATTATTTTCTACCCACTCGTTGCTGTTGCACATCCTCGAAGAAGTTTCTGTTTCTTTTGCGCCAAATTGACCCAGACACTAAAATTATGGGAACCTTTCTGCAAATCAACCTGCAAGGCTCTGCATCTCGCAGATCCACTACCATTGTGAATCAGCCCCTTGGAATGAGGTTGCTCTGCCCATGACAGAATCAGCAGTTGCAGCTGACCTGTCCAAATCACATTTCAGCTGCGGCAAGCAAAAGAGCGCAATGTGTGTGGTTCGCCAACTGCTGATTTCAAGCCCATCTGTCGTCGAACTTTCGTGGGGCAGGCATTTGTTTCTAGTCCCAGTGCTGGTCGTAAGAATCAGTTCGGGTCACCAAATTTGTTCTTTCCCTTTGTCCAGGAAGATAGTAGGGGATAGATGCTTCTATGCCATTGTTTGATATCTTTAGCAGCAGTAAATTGTCAACTGTTCATTGTGCATAATTAAAACGATCCATAATCAATTGTTTACGGGGCATGTTAGAAAAACAATTGGACATATGCTTGGTTATCTCCCTGTTTAGCACATTATGATACGAGCTACTGAGTAGCCAGATCACTCTCACTTGCACTGTTACACATGCTATATACTGGACTTTGAAGGATCAAAGTCTTAGATTTTTATCTGCCCTTGATAAAATGTTCTGGACTATTTTTGACATGATGAATACTGTGAAACCAAGTTATTTCTGCGTCTCGTCTCTAATATTGGTGACGTAGGGATCCATGTGGTTAATAATTTTTATTTTTTGACTATTAATATAAGTAAAACTACATAGATTGAAAACATTAAAATAATGGCATTGGATTTATCTTGCTAAGTATTTCCAAAATAAGAAAATATTAGCCAAAGTCTTGCATCGGACACCACAAATTGTAAAAGAATACTTCTTGGTGTTGGAGGGGTGTAGTTGCTTTTTTATGCATTAATTATGTTCTCTAACTAGCAGATGACTTTCTGTTAGTTCCTTTGAAACCATTTACTGACTATACAACTCTTTCCAGGAATGCCCAGTTGGAACATATAAAAATGTTGCTGGGTCCAACTCATCTCTCTGCACCCCTTGTTCTTTGAATGCTCTTCCAAACCGTGCTGACTTCATATATGTAAGAGGTAGGTCATCAGACTTGCATTATCTTGTCTTGTTTATGTTCAAACGTCTTGACTTTGCATGGAAGAAACTAAGCATTAACTTTGACTTGCTAGGTGGTGTTACCCAGCCATCCTGCCCGTATAAGTGCATATCTGCTAAGTACAAGATGCCAAATTGTTACACACCACTTGAGGAAGTTATATATACTTTTGGGGGTCCTTGGTCTTTTGCAGTTTTCCTATTCTTTGCAATTATTCTTTTGGCACTCATCTTAAGTGCCGTAAGAGTTAAAATTGGTGAGAGTGAAGTGACGTATCGGGCTACAAGTGCAATCCACAATGATGCCTATGCTTCTTCGCCTTTTTTGCTTTCATTGGCTGAGGTATAGTTCATTTTATGCTACATGGTCTTTAGATGTAGTTAGAGCAACTGCAAAATCACCTAGATCTGATCATTGAGCCAATCCTATATACCTAAGTAGTTGATCGCCACTCCTATTTATCTTAACATGCACACATGCCATTTCACCAGACATGCCACCTCATCAAAGGCCCACCTCAACATTTATGGAAAAAAGTTTTCCTTTATTAGTTGATCCCCACTACTTCTATTTATCTAAACATGCCTTGTCAAAAGCTTTCCACCTCATCAAAGGATAATTAGCTCTTAAATATGATAAAGTATAGGGACACTTGTAGTACAGTTTGTTGAGAAATCTTGCTTATTGTGTATTTTCTTATAAATAGGTACCTGGGGCCAGCAGGGCAGAAGAAACACAAAGCCATGTGCACAGAATGTACTTCATGGGACCTAATACATTCCGAGAACCGTGGCATCTTCCTTACTCGCCCCCTGAATCTATAATTGGCATTGTGTAAGGCTTTTCATCTTATGAATCTATGACGTTACATGATCACTGATTCATTCGCGTTCATTCACCACAAAGCAATATAATTCACAAAAGTTACTATAAGTTGCACTGCAAATATATAACTTCAGATGTGAATTGTTCTACATGTCACTAATGTTCACATTGTTATACGCGCCACTAACCTATATAAATTGTTGCACTGTTCTGTTGATTTACCCATTTGTGAAATCCTTCCTCTTATTGTCTTTTCTTTTTTTCTTCTTCTTAGAAGTTGTAGCTTGGATGTTCTCATACAGCCATCCTTGCTGTAGTGGTTCTTGATTCACAGGTACACAGCAATTATATTGTTGATGAAACCAACTGAGCTGGAGCAAAAAAAGTGACCAAGTATAAAACTTTTATGCTAAAAATCGAGATCCAAAACCCTTTAAGGCCTACCTTGAACTATGGAATTTGCTGAAAACAGTTCGATTATCATGTTCGAAGCAGGAGCGACTATTATCTTGATTGATCTGAATGACATATGGGTATCAATTTAATGGCCCATCCGTGAAAGAACAACGTTTACTGTTTCCATCTTTGATATATATGTATCTTCTGACTGTAGGTGACAATTCTGTTATTTTTTCCCAGGTATGAAGATGCTTTTAATCGTTTTATCGATGAGATAAACTTGGTAGCAGCCTTTGAGTGGTGGGAAGGTTCTGTGCATAGTATACTTGCAGTACTTGCATATCCTTGTGCCTGGTCTTGGAAGCAATGGCGCAGAAGAAAGAAAATCCATCGTCTTCAAGAATACGTTAAATCTGAGTACGACCATTCATGTCTTCGCTCTTGCAGATCACGGGCTCTATATAAAGGGCTGAAGGTCAGTAATCATAATTTAGTCACGTCATTTGGTATTAGAACCAGTAGTAGTTGTGTCAATGTTTTTAAAATCAGTTCAACTGGGTTTCAGTTGAATGGTGTACTAGCCATGTATCTAAATTTGTACCCAAACTCACCAAATATACCTGGAATAGGTGCTCAGAGATATTATTCAGCTGAGTTTCACTTGATCTGAATTATACTCTTTCTTAGCTCTGTGAACCATGAATAGCTGTTTGTTAGGAATGGAGGGAAATTTGGTGTGTTATTTTCGTTGCTGACATATCAGTCTAACATGTAATTGTTTGAACTTAACAGGTTGGTTCAACTCCAGACTTGATGGTCGCTTACATTGATTTCTTTCTGGGAGGTGATGAGAAACGACTTGATGTAGCGGCCACAATCCAGAAGAGGTTTCCAATGTGTTTAATTTTTGGCGGTGAGGGGAGCTATATGTCCCCATACCACCTGCACAGTGATACATTACTGTCAAATCTTCTTGGCCAGGTGAACATTAGACAACTTCATATTGAACAAGTGATGCCAATGACATTACTTTTTTTTATATCTATAGATATGCTCCATGTTCCCAATTATATTACTACTACATGAGGATTAGCCAGTAGCCACTTTGTCTCACATGGTCGAAGTGAAAAATTTCCAGTCTTGCTCAGGATATGTTTGTCTGCCAAAGTAATGCATTATTTATTGGTACGTAATTTTTATCGTTTGCCCTGAGGTTAGTGTGCCTTTGTAACTTGCCCCATTTGATATGCCTCAACTTGTGCAAATTGTCATAGGCGTGCAACAACTTTGAGGCAAATGGTATAAAAATCCCTATTGGCTGTGTTTGGTTTTGATATCATATTCTAGTGTTTTTGAGGCCTCTGCTGCTTATTTTCTTCTTCTTATATATGCTACAAAATGCATTTCTTGTGTTCAATCACTCCCGGTGACTCTGTTTCATTTTCCCAGTATGTGTCTACTGCGATCTGGAACAGATTAGTAGCTGGCTTGAATACTCAGTTGAGGACAGTAAAGCAACGCAGCATCCGGTCAACTCTGGGCCCGGTTGTTTCTTGGATTAAGAGTCATGGGAATCCCCAACTTGAGCGACATGGTGTTCGAGTAGAGCTAGGGTGGTTTCAGGCCACTGCTTCTGGTTATTACCAGCTAGGTATTGTTGTAGCAGTGAATGAAAACTTCTACAAGAGTCACCACCATCACGAGCATGCCCCAGATTTTGGTGATCGCTCAAGGTATGAAAAGAAAGGCCAACTACAATAGCATGTCTTACAAAAAACATTTCTCATGCTGTGTGAAATGACTGCTCTGTTTTTTAATTCTACAGGAAGAATTTTGCAGTTCCACTACTGGGTTCCAAGCAGGCAGTTCAGGATCAGCCTTGCACAAGCTACGGTGTTTCCAGAAAGCGGTTGACAGGCGGAGTGACTGGTGGGGTCATAAACGAAGAGACACTGAAGTCACTGGACTACAAAAGAGACTATCTATTCCCTCTGTCGTTGCTCTTGCAAAATTGCAGGCCTATTGGCTATGCGGTAAGCAACCACTAGACCCTTTCTATAAACACACAAATGCTCATGCTGTACATGACAGTTACCTATTTACCTTAACCGCGACCTTCCTTTGGCATTTCAGGAAACATTGCAGTTGCTTATCTGTGTTGTACTTGTGGGTGATTTTACCATCACCTTGCTTATGCTTGTACAATACTACTGGATATCTGTTGGAGCTTTCCTCGCTGTACTGCTTATTCCACCCCTTGCTTTGCTTTCCCCTTTTCTTGCTGGCCTCAATGCACTTTTCAGCCGAGGACCAAAAAGATCTTCTGTCACCCGTATTTTTACACTTTGGAATACTACTTCTGTTATAAACATTGTAAGTCTTGTTTACAGTGATTTATCCTTGAGCTCTTTTATATGTGGCTTGTACAAGTAGAGACTGTATCTGTTAGTTCTATTGCTATCAGTTTGAAATGCATCACAACAGTTTAATATCTATATACCGCATAATGTAACAGGCTCGGAGACTTATGAATCTTATTTCCTTGCAGATTGTAGCAATCGTCTATGGTGCTATGTACTCTGGGCTATCTTCTTTGACAGTGTCTTCAGTTCATGCATCAAACGCCAAAAGGTTAGATTCCATATGTGCATCATTGAGAATCCAGACAATTACTTACCTATGTCTTCTAGGCATAGCCGGTCCCAAGCCCGGGTAAAGGAGGAGGGTTGTGATAGGCTTGGCGAGCCAACGTAAAAACTAGCCAGTCCCATAGGTATGAAACCCATTTGAGCGAGAATAGTACTAGGATGGGTGACCTCCTAGGAAGTCCTCGTGAAAGGGTTTCATATCTAAGGGTTGTGATAGGCTTGGCGAGCCAACGTAAAAACTAGCCAGTCTTTTGGGTATGAAACCCATTTGGGCAAGAGTAGTACTAGGATGGGTGACCTCCTGGGAAGTCCTCGTGAAAGGGTTTCATATCTAGCCTACCCCAACTTGTTTGGGATAAAAGGCTTCGTAAGTATTGTGTTTCGGAGTGACTTAATTACAAATTAGATGAGACAAAAGAAATAAAAAAATACCATATGTCATATGCTGATCTGTTTGTTCTTTGGCGCATCTGCAGCTTCAAGGGTAGGGATGATGATGGATGGTGGATAATGCCAGTCGTCTTGTTTGTTGTCAAGTCGCTTCAAGCCAGACTGGTCAACTGGCACATAGCAAATCTGGAGATCCAGGATCATTCCTTGTTTAGCCCTGACCCGGACAGATTCTGGACAATGTAGTGTACCCAGACGCAAGAATGGCAGAATCTGAACGGCATGGCACTGCTGTATTTTGTCCCCTGTATTCGTCGGTCTAACGGGTGTCATGACGCTCTAGACCCTAAACTTGTTCCGGCATAGTGTAGATGTGTCTGAAGTGAAATTTTGTTAGTCCGGAGTATGTACATTGACCGTTAGAATAGGGTTTTGTTGTTTTGGGTGAACTAGATTTCTTTAGTTTATAGGTTTTTAGCTTGAGCTAGTGATCAGAGTGTACAGCAAGACACAGGTGGTGTGATTGGCGTTCGTATGGTGTACATTATGTAAGTAATAAATAGTAGGAGTGAGTGCATATCAAATTAGTGATGTTCATTTTTACTCAGGATGTGCATGAGTTGTGCAACACAGTGAACAATGTCGTCATTGCAAATTTGCAATCGATTTGCAGGAGACGGATACCACATCTCTTCTTCTTGTAGATCTTCCTTGGGCCTGAAAGAAGGACATGTCTAGTGCTCGAATGGCTTGGCTCTGAAGAACATGTACGGAGTACAATGCAACGTGCTAGTGAAAATAAACCAATTTTTTGATTAAAACCTGCAGCGAGTCTGGGAAGAATGTTTCATGCTGAGAATTAAAAAGGAACATGACCTCTTTGAAACTGAGATGTTGCCTATTGAATTTGTGGAGTTATTCTAGTTATACAATCAAATGGCCCTCGACAAACAACTCATGACTTGCAGCTGTCTATAAATATTACTTATGTAATCAAGTCTTTATATATAACTCAGCTCTTTCGTTGCATGTATATATAATTATCCTCACTATATTATGCAAGTTGAAGATTGTCGAACGCAGAAAAGCACAAATCTATGACATCGCGTTCATTAACCCAAATATCATACATAAATGGACAGTTAAAAACAGAGTCACAGATACCGAGGACAACTTGCTACAATCGTTGCGTGTAAATCAAAACAAAGAGAAAATACTCTTTCCTTGTGTTACTGTCTTGTGCATATTTGGTTTCCCTTACTCGAGGTTATAGTAATGTAATTGATGAGTTATGCATGCGTGCGCAGATTTCACTTTATTCTGCTAGAGACTAAGCTTGACTGGGGAGTAGTAACTGTCTTAGACTCGAGACGACTCCCCAGGAGTAGGGGGACATGACTGAAATGCTCCAGTAGTAAGTTCAATCGATCATCATCGCACCATACCGGTAACTTTGTTCATTTCTTGATATCAAGTCATTATTGTCTTTGTCTGGCAGGGTTTGGAAAGAGTTCACAACAATTGTTCTAGGACTGCCAACGGAGCTGCGATTTACACACCCGAAAGTAAGTACTACAAGCTAGTTTCGCGCACCTCCCATTGATTCTAGCTAGTTTCATCAATACCATTTAGCATGTTTGATTATCAGTTTGATTGAACTCTATTTCTCGTAAAGTGCTTGTGACAGGAAACCGAAAATGATTTTTGTGGATACTACGTTTGCGAGTTCATTTACAACGTGACGGCCTCTAAGCGGGGCTACTATGGAAAACAATATGAAGTACGTAAACAAAAATATTCACAATTTTATTTTATTACCATCAATTGTGTTGAGTTTCATTCATATATATATGTGTTGACCCCCTTCTTTAAATGTTGGGGAACGTAGCAGAAATCCAAAATTTTCTACGCATCACCAAGATCAATCTATGGAGATACTAGCAACGAGAGAGAGGGGAGTGCATCTTCATACCCTTGAAGATCGCGATGCGGAAGCGTTACAAGAACGCGGTCGGTGGAGTCGTTCACGAAGCGATTCAGATCGCGGCCGAATCCGATCTAAGCACCGAAGAACGGTGCCTCCGCGTTCAACACACGTGCAGCCCGGTGACGTCTCCCGTGCCTTGATCCAGCAAGGAGAGAGGGAGAGGTTGAGGAAGACTCCGTCCAGCAGCAGCACAACGGCGTGGTGGTGATGGAGGAGCGTGGCACTCCAGCAGGGCTTCGCCAAGCACTGCGAGAGACGAGGAGGGAGAGGGGTAGGGCTGCGCCAGGAGAGATGAAAACTCATATTCTTGGCAGCCCCAAAACCTCCACTATTTATAGGGGAAGGGGAGAGGGGGCCGGCCCCCTCCAGATCCCATCTAGAGGGACACTACTAGGGAAAAGCCTATACATAGAATCTTACCAGCAGCGCGCTTTAAAATCAGGCGCTGCTGCTATGTAGCAGTAGCGCGCTCTCCCAAAACTCGCTGCTGAAACAAGTTTATCAGTAGCGCGCACACTCTAAGACGCGCTACTGCTAAAATTCCCATGACGCCGCCGCGAGGCCAGTTATAGCAGCAGCACGTTAGCACAAAAGGCGCTACTGATACGTCGTTTAGCAGTAGCCCATTTCGCTATAGCGCGCTACTGCTAAGCCATTCCCTCTCCCCCCACTCACCTATCCGATCCAGATCACACTCACACACACACACACTCGATCTCCCCCTCAACCCCCGCGCCGCCAGTCCTCCCACATCGCCCCTCCTCCGATCTGCGCTGCCGTCACCTCATCCTCCTCGCTGGACTCAGTACCGGCCTCCTCCTCCGTCCTCCCTCCACTCGCCACTGGCCGACCCCTCCTCTCTCCGCCTTCCTCCTCCATTCTCCCTCCACTCGCCGCCGGCCAGCCCCGCCTCGCTCCGCCTTCCTCCTCCGTCCTACTCTCTTCTCCCTCCTCGAGTCGCCCCTCCTTCTCCCTCCTCCCTGCTACATTTTGATTTAGTAGGCTAGTTCATATGCAACATTCTGATTTAGTTGATATGATTCAGTTGATTTAGTAGGCTAGTTGATTTAGTTGATTTAGTTCATATGCAACATTTTGATTTAGTTGATTTAGTAGGCTAGTTGATTTAGTTGATTTAGTAGGCTAGTTGATTTAGTTGATTTAGAACATCTTGATTTAGTTGATTTAGTATGCTAGTGGATTTAGTATGCTAGTTGATTTAGTTGATTTAGTATGCACCATTTTATTGTTATTTTTTCGGCAATAGGTGCCACCGAAATGCTTTGGTACGTGGTACCTTGTCATCTAATATGTTATTAGATCTTAGGATTATAATTGTCCATAAAATTGCTTCTCGTGGAAGAACCAAAAATATCACATGCTACTGATTTTCTTTCCTGTGAAGTGAATCATTAATCCTTTGCTCATATTGCTTTAGGAAAATGGTGCCACCACCACCATCACTATGTCGACTATGCAAGTCAAGGTGCACCAGCAACCTTGCAACTGGCAAGCTGTTTGGCATCTACTTCCAGCCGAGTTTTCGTCATGCGGCGGTAAGAAATTAGATGAAATGTAACAACTATTTTATTTTTAGTGTTGGCATTACTGCATTGTGTCATTTTTCTTTTCTTACACAGACCGTCCCATGCAATGTGAGGTTGACATTCAACAAGCTGACAGGAGACACTGTGACATTTGAGGCTCCTGGGGGGCTGTCGGTGTCAAAACCGGCGGATCTCGGGTAGGGGGTCCCGAACTGTGCGTCTAGGCGGATGGTAACAGGAGACAAGGGACACGATGTTTTACCCAGGTTTGGGCCCTCTTGATGGAGGTAAAACCCTACGTCCTGCTTGATTGATATTGATATTGTGGATGTTTACAAGAGTGGATCTACCACGAGATCAAGGAGGCTAAACCCTAGAAGCTAGCCTATGGTATGATTGTAATGGTTGTTGTTGCGTCCTACGGACTAGAGCCATCCGGTTTATATAGACACCGGAGAGGGCTAGGGTTACATAGAGTCGGTTACAATAGTAGGAGATCTACGTATCCGTATCGCCAAGCTTGCCTTCCACGCCAAGGAAAGTCCCATCCGGACACGGGACGAAGTCTTCAATCTTGTATCTTCATAGCCTTGGAGTCCGGTCGATGATGATGATAGTCCGGCCGATGATAGTTCGGCCGATGATGGTAGTCCGGCTATCCGGACACCCCCTAATCCGGGACTCCCTCAGTAGCCCCCGAACCAGGCTTCAATGACGATAAGTCCAGCGTGTGTGTAGTATTCGGCGTTGCAAGGCGGGTTCTCCTTCAAGTTCTACGTACCTGCCGAACAGTGTCCGGCTTCCTCATCAATGTTGCGCGTCTTGGCTTCCACGCCCAATAATGGCCTTCCTCCACGCGTCGCGCGAATGCGAAAAGCCAGGGTGTCTTTTATGTTTTACCCCCAAGTTGTGCGAATAATCTGCCTACAAGGGAGGCAAGAATCCAGATCCAAATCGCCATCTTCCTCCCGCAAATACTCATCGAAGCGCTTTCGACCAAGAATCCATTCCATCATGGACTGTCAACGCGGCTCCTCTTCTCGCGCTCCCAGCCCTTTGCCAGGAGATTGGAGGAGATGCTCTATTCCGCACAACGAGCTGGTGAAGCTCCAAGCGGGGGGATATCTCCCTCCGGCCTTTATGGTTCCGGTTCGAGCCGGGCTGGCCACCTACAAAGGTGGGAAGCAAGCGAAGGTTACCCCAAGTCCCAACAAAGGGGAGCGGGTATGCTTCGTCCCCTATCTGATAAGGGGGCTCGGATTTCCTGTACATCCATTCCTCCGTGGGCTCCTGGAGTTCTACGGACTCCAGCTTCATCACCTCACGCCCGCCTCAATCCTGCACATTGCGGGTTACGTAGCTCTTTGCGAGCTATTCCTGGGCGTCGAGCCCCATTTCACGCTGTGGAAGAGGTTGTTCTGCCTTGTACCCCGCTCTCACGAGGGGTCCATATATCAAGTGGGCGGCGCCGAAATATGGCGTATTGCCGGGACCGGATATCCATCCGGAACCCCTAAGAAGGCGTCCGAAGACTGGCCTTCAGGATGGTTTTATATAGAAGACGCTCCGCTGCCGGACCCTGTTCGGATCGGCCTCCCGGAGTTCAGCAATGCTCCTCTGAAGAAACGCCTTAGTTGGCGTCCGCGGAGCCCCCAACTGGAGGAAGACAAGAGCATCCATTATTTGATGGGCCGAATAAGGTTACTGGCCCA